AGTTTTTGAAATATGACAAAATCGTGATTTAGATTTAATTTTTTGAAGAGAGGTTTCCTGTTAGAAGACAGAAATTGTACCACATATATTGAGCAATCTTCTAAGAGTTGAAAATTGTTCACAAAAATAACGTTATTACCGTTGCTATGGTAACAGTGACGTTTCAATATGGCCGACATTTTACCTTTTAACACATTTTAATCGAAAAAAAGGCTGGTTACCGCCATTTTTTATTTCGTGAAACGTTTTCGTTTAGAAAAATGAATGATATGAACAACTATAAAAAAATTATGTAGATCAGAATTTTTAAAAAATTTAAAAACGTGATTTTTCGTGATAAATATTTTTTGGATCTACAGAATTTTTTTAAACTTGTTCACAGCATTCATTTTTCTAAATGAAAACGTTTCACGAAATAAAAAATAGGGGTAACCGGCCTTTTTTCAAGTAAAATGTGTTAAAATGTAAAATGTCGGCCATATTGAAACGTCATTGTTACCATAGCAACGGTTATGACGTCATCTTTGTGAACAATTTTCAACTCTTAGAAGATTGCTCAATATATGTGGTACAATTTTTGTCTTCTAACAAGAAACTTCTCTTCAAAAAATTAAATCTAAATTACAGTTTTGTCATGTTTCAAAAACTGTAGGGAGCACGGTCTGTTACAACATTTGGTCACAACATGCACTGTTCGATTGGAGTTCATACTGACATACATTTTGTTAGTTGCTTTGTTTGCTATTGGCATTGATTGAAAATACACGTATTTGCAACAGCAAATCAAATTTTCATTTGTATATTGTCTATTTGTTTTGAAAATATTTCGGTGTCGACCTAGATAGAGAATTATCGCCTTTTGGTCGGCAATTTCTTGCCGACCTGAAATTTCGGGAGTTTCAAGGACTGTACAATGAACTCGTATACAGCTCGACAACTGGCCTCTGTAGCTCAGTTGGTTAGAGCGCTGCACTGCAATCGCAGGGCCACAGTTTCGATTCCTACCAGGGAACTAAAGTTGCATTTTTTGCATCTGTTCCTGGTTAGGTGTAATAAATGTTTATAAACTTCCACTCGATAATTTACATCCACAAGAACCTTCAAAATATCTCAGGGCCTACCTTCAGAATCTGGCCATGCATTCAATTATATATTTTGTTAAATTACTGGTGAACAGTTTAAGTAGAATGATGAAATGTTGAGACCTCATAGAAATATTCCACGTTTGTTTCTGATCTCAGAAAATAAATACTTTCTTTTAACAGATGGGGATTTACAACCAAGGGAAACAGTCGCACACGATATACAGAGGTCGGTTCAAACAATATGTTTAAAGAGAATTCTCGACTAAATCAATTTTAATATTTAATTCCTTATATATATTTTGGATAGAACCTGGATTGTCAAAAGTCTTTGAGAAGGTATAGACATTAGACAGTGAACATTACTGCAGTTGCATGCCATTTTAACACCTTGGTGCAATAATACACCAAATTAAAGACGAGATCAAGTCTATTCTGCGCATGTGTTGTGCGAGGGCCCTCCGATGTAAACAATACCAAAATTTCGAGAGTGTTGTTTCGACATCTTCTAAATTGCAACTCTAATCCATATTCATTTATAAGCATAACATAAAGATGTTAGATATTAACTAAGTGCATCCTATCTTATGAATATAGTGTCTTCAAAATGTAAACTTGACAGCCTCTTTAAGTTACAAGGTTGTTCCAACAAGTCCGATACAGTCATGATATAACAGTATTGTCACAACCTTGTGTCGTCAACCTTGTAACATTCTTGTTATATCATGACTGTATCGGACTTGTCAGAACAATCTTGTAACAAGTCTGATCATGCCATCAAGCTTGTTACAAGTTGTTAACAGCTTGTTCCAAACTTATTACAACAACTGGGAACAAGCAGTGCGAACACAACTTGTCGACAGCTTGTGAACAGATTTGTAACAAATTGTTTGCAGACTTGTAACAACTTGTGCGTTTTTACGTGTGTATGTCAGAAGGTCTTGTGCATGCTAGTACACACGCAAAAATCTCCCATCTTGTAACAAGTTTAGTGCCAACAAGCCGTCAACAAGATGTATTCGCACTGCTTGTCACAAGTTGTCAACAAGTTTGGAACAACTTGTTGACAACTTGTATCAACCTTGTCGAAATTATGAGACTTGTTGCAAGGTTGTTCTGACAATTCTGTCACATGCTTGATATAAAAGATTGTTACAACCTTGTGTTGACAACCTTGTAACATCCTTGTTATATAATGGCTGTAACAAACTTGTTAGCACAGTCTTGTAACAAGGCTGATAATGCCATCAATCTTGTTACAAGTTGTTAACAGCTTGTTTCAAACTTGTTACAACAAACTGGGAACAAGCAATGCGAACACAACTTGTTAACAGCTTGTGAACAGACAATACAAAAGCCGTTCTTTATCCTTGACACAGCCCCTTGACCCTACGTGACGTCATATGAACCCTGGAATTTGGGGTTAGTGTCACTTTAAGTTCCAACACTGATACAGTGTGTAATTGTGATTTTAAGATGTCAAGACAATTGAAGGACAAGACAAAGGAAGATATGTCCAAAGTACTTGATTGTTCATCATTTCAAATCAAACCGTTGCAAGCTTGTATCACAGAAACAACATTGGATGATTTTGATCTCCCAGATTCAGGTAAACTTGTGTACTCACTGCCATCTAGGAATAAAACATGGTCTTCCATTGTAAGTAACGTAATAAGCTGCCGAGTTTTGTGTCTGAACTACTTGAAAATATATCTCAAACGTGGTAGTCCAGTGTAGGTAGTATTCGGCAATAAACTGTCGTGGTTTGTGTCTGAACTACCTGAAAAAGATATCTCAAACGTGGTGGTCCAGTGTAGGTAGTATTCGGCAATAAAGTGAATAAACTGTCGTGGTTTGTGTCTGATCTACCTGAAAAAGATTTATAAAATAACATGTATATAACGCGTGTTCTGATTGGTCGAAACCCGTGTTTGGATCAGGCCATCTAAACACGGAAGACTATCGTGTTGTTGTTATTTTATAAAACAATTACTTTATGGTTTCCGTGTTTGGATGGCCTGATCCAAACACTTGGGAATGTTGCTCGAGTTAAGAAAAGCGGGCAAAATCACTCGCCTTCGGCTCGTGCTTTCGCTCGCTTTTCTTATCTCTCGCAACATTCCCGCGTGTTTGGATCAGGCCATCCAAACACGGAAACCATAAAGTAATTGTATAATCTCAAACGCGGTGGTCCAGTGTAGGTACAGTAGTAGTCTACAATAAGCTGTCGTGGTTTGTGTCTGAACTACGTGAAAAGATGTCTCAAACGTGGTGGTTCAGTGTAGGTAGTATGCTTTATACCTGATAAAACTCATTTTCATTAGTATTCTTTATATAAAGTCAATCCTCTTTAGTATTCTTTGTATAAAGATTTCTAATGAGACGGCATCTATTGTAGTCGTGTTTTAAGTCATTAATTTATAGCACATGCCGTGCACTCGCATTTTAAATATGATAAAACACTCCTACGCGTGCTTTAAAAAGTGTGTCTGAATTACTTGAAAAAAAAAATTCAACACTTGAAGTAAGTGTTTCAACACTTGAAGTAAGTGTTTTTTCTTTGAGATACTTGATATCAGAAAAACACGACGAGACTGTTTTTGCATACGGTGTGATAATAATATTGTTTACATGTTCTTTGCCAGGATCAAGTCATCATTCTCCAAAAGATCTCATGTGGTATGTCGTTTTAAGTTCAATTATATAGAGAATAATACATGGGTGCTTGGAAATACCAGATTTATTTTGAGTGTTGAACATGATATCTCACGAGTGAGCGCATGTTTATTATATAAAGGACAGTCTTTGAAAAGCGATAATTTTTACAGAAAAGCGATAATTTTCACATGTGAGATTATCATGAATAATCTCACATGTGAGATTATCACTTTTATCAGGGCTCGAAATCTCTATAAAGCACTATACTTTATATAATAAAACTGTATAGTATGTCCTGCTTAGATGTTTAGCGAGTAACTATCAATAAATGGAATGGCCCAACTATATGAAGCAACACTAGCACTATTGAGCTTCCATTTCAAAGATAATCTTATATTATTTTGTTTTCCTTTTAAAGTGATGTTGATTTGGATGCAACACGAACAAGTTCGTCTGTGGGAAGGTAATTTTAAAAATTGTCACCAACTTTATTAGGCCAAAAAAACTATGTGGGTTTCCTATTTCTTCTTGTAAAAACATAGCTAGGGAAAGTCGGTTTTAACTTTTTTTAAACCTCTTTTTAAAATTTTCCTGTTAAGACTTAGGAAGAGATTATTTCGTTTGTTTAGTCAGCGCTTCCACATCCAAAGATAAATTTCCTTAATATTGCCTGAAATTTTCCTTTTCCACAAATATATTTTCCTCTAAGTGGAAACACTTGCAAGCATGATCCATTAAAAAAGTTTAGGATCGGGATTGCGGCGTCCAAAAGCTAGGTAGGGTCGGGAAACCGGAGACACACATATTTTTTGGCCTTAGCGGAGTCCACTTTGAGGTTCAAATGTTACTACTGTGTAATATTTTTAATTGTGATGTAATTGTTTTTTACAGCGCACATAATTCTATCAATGAACCTAACAAGGTGGATGACATCCCTGAAAGAATGGAATTAGCCTGTGAAGTAAATTCATTTCAGCCTTTGTACTGTATATTTCACATGACGTTAATAAATTAGACAGTTACAGCCATATCGACTATTTTTTTATCCAGACAAGAAGGCCGAAATCTATCATTATAGCTTAAATGAGCACCCTTAAATTGGTAAAGGCCCTGTCACACTATTGCGTATGAGAGAAACGTATGAGAAGAGTATGAAAATTAATGCAATAATTTTCATACGCACAAAAATCCTTTCAAATGCCAGCGTATGAGTACCGTATATCTGGCGTACCTCTAGCGTATTCAGCGTGTGCCTAGGGTATGCTTATCGTATAAAGCATACGTCCGATACGCACAAAATTTTTGAACATGCTTTAAAAAAATTTTCTGCCTCGGCGTATGCCAGCGTATGCGACCGTGCTTGAAACGTGCTTGAAGAAAAAGCTTGCATTTTTAGACAATAGTAATATTAGTCGCTCTCATTTAAATAGTAGAGGACTGCATTTAAACCGAGAAGGTAGCTCTTTGCTTCAGGCAAACTTTTCACATTTCTTAAGTTCGCATAATTGAAATGAGGACGGGTCGAGGAGGAGTGCTAATGATGCCTGTTTAAATATTCCGAAAACAAGGGGTTTTAAGATGGCTATATGCTAATGTAGTTAGCCTTCCGAAACACCTTGATGAAATCCGATTATTACTTCACGATAAATATTTAGATGTTTTAGCAGTTAATGAAACCCGTTTGGACTCCACTATTTCCGATGGGATTGTTAGCATTGAAGGTTATGACTTGCTACGTGCTGATCGGAATAGAAATGGAGGAGGGGTATGTATTTATATAAGACGCCATATAAATTATGAAAATCGCCCTAATCTAGTTCCAACAGACCTTGAAGCTGTCTGTGTGGAAATTAAGCAGGCTAATAGTCAATCTTTTATAGTTTCAAGTATTTATAGACCACCATGTTCCGCTAGTGAAGTGTTTATAAAAATTGAGAGGCTAACCAAATCAATTGATGATGAAAATATAGAATTTTATATTTTGGGAGATTTAAATTGTAATATGCTAGAACCAACTTTGTCCACCACTAGAAAGCTTCAAGACGTTTTGGAATTATATCAGCTTACACAATTAATTAATAACCCTACGCGTATTACCCAGTCTAGACAATCATTATTGGATGTAGTAATTGCGTCAATGCCTGAAAAAATTATTTTTTCAGGTGTAGTCCATCTCGGAATTAGTGATCACAGCCTCATTTATAGTATTCGGAAAATAAGTACAAGAATAAAATCTGATTTACAAGGTTCTGTCGAGTATAGAAATTTTAAGAATTTCAATGTTTCAGGCTTTCTATATGACTTACAAAATATACCTTGGGAAGAAATAAGATTTAGAAGAAATGTAGATGAAATGTGGCGGTTATGGAAAACATTTTTTGTAGATGTGCTGGATAAACATGCCCCTGTGAGAGTAAAAAGATTAAGAAAAGGGGGCAATATTCCTTGGGTAAGCCGGGAAGTAAAGGAAAAATTATTTAAAAGAGATGCTCTTAAGCGTAAAGCATTATAGACAAATAAAGAAGAAGACTGGAGACTATATAAGTCATCTAGAAATGTTGCCAACACTGCTTTGCGCAGTGCTAAAAGAGATTATTATGCAAACAAATTCACAAATAATAAACAGAATCCTAAATATGCTTGGAGAACAATAAACGATATATTAGGTCGAAACAGAAAACAGACTACGATTAATGAAATTAAACTTCCAGGTAAAACTGTTACATCGACTGACGAATTAGTCGACATTTTTAATGATCATTTTAGTAATATTGGCCCAAAGCTTGCTGAGTCTATTCCAAATGACAATGACGTTAGTTTTCGAGATTTTATTACTCAACAAAAATCTAAGACAAAGAACAGTTTCTCATTTCGACCAGTGAGTGTAACATTGGTTTAATTTGTCTACCACCAAAGCGACTGGAATGGATAAAATTTCAGCTAAAATTCTACAAGTAGCAGCTCCAGTTATTGCACCTTCTCTTACTGAGATTTTTAATATGTCAATTGACTCGGATCAATTTCCTTCTGATTGGAAAGCTGCAAGGGTTATTCCATTGTTTAAGAAAGGTCAGCGGTCCATGGTCCAACTATAGACCGATATCAATCCTTCCTGTAGTAAGTAAACTTATGGAAAGAATTATGTATGATCAAATGTATGAGTATCTTAACCAGAATAATCTTTTCTCAAAACACCAATTTGGTTTCAGACCTTATCATTCCACAACTACTACATTATTGGATTGTACGAACGAATGGTATACCAACATGGACCGTGGGCTGTATAACTTCGTTGTTTTTCTTGACCTAAAAAAAGCATTCGATACAGTCGACCACGAAATACTGTTAAGTAAGTTTGAAATGTATGGTTTCCAAAGGAAAGCATTAAATCTTTTACGTTGCTATTTGACGCACCGAACTCAAAGTTGTCAATTGGCCAGCATACTCTCGGTGGAGAAAGAAATCATTTGTGGCATTCCTCAGGGAAGTATACTCGGCCCTCTCCTATTTATTATGTATATAAATGATCTGCCAAGCTGCCTAGAACGCACAACTCCAAGAATGTTTGCTGATGATACTAACTTAACGGCAGTAGGCAGAACAATTAGTGAGGCGGAAGAGAGGGCGAACGTAGACATGAGGAATGTTCAGAAATGGCTTTGTGCAAATAAACTAAGTCTAAATATAGCGAAAACTGAGTATGTTTTAATTGGAACACGACATAAAATAAGTAATATTGATACCCATCAAGGAGTTAAAATAAATAATCAATTGATTAAAAAAGTTAAAAATACCAAAGCTCTTGGAGTTGAATTAGACGAAAACTTGAGTTGGGAAAAACACATTAACCATATTAGCAGTAAAATATCATCAGGTATTGGGGCTATTAGAAAAATGAGGGAGTATGTCGAACAAGACATTTTGATAAAGTTTATAATGCCTTAATCCAACCTTATTTTGATT